CCAGCTCAAACCAGCACACTTTCCTTCCGAGGAGGTGGGGGAATTGCTGAGAGCACCTCCCTGCTGCCGGGAGCCACTTGGGATTTACAGCCTCCATACTACTGCAGGCAGAGGGCTGGCAGCTGTGTCAGGCTGAAGCACTGCCTCCCTTTCTAGAAGCACATTCACCACCACATGCACTGCAAGCAGTCACAACAGTGTAGACTGAGGAGAGGACAAGACAAGAAAGGATCTCAAAACTTAGATCCAGGGCCAGTGCCTGCAGAGTTTGGACCACCAAGAATTTTCTTCACAAATAAACCGTATAGATATATATATATATACTGTCAACGGTTCCTCCCTTCCTGCCACACCTTCTGCACTATTGGAACTCTCCAATGAAGTTCAAATTGCACAGTAAACGCTGCCTTCTGCAGAAGGATCTCAACTAAAACTGCTGCCATCCCAGCCCCTGGCAGTGAAGAGACACTATCATAAAGCGTTTGCAGATGCACCATGCATTGTCCAAGAGAAAAAGCACATCTAATAAAAATGAGCTAAAACGTGTATTGATGAAGCCTTTCATGCAGCTGGCTCAGTATCAGCCTCCAGGACCCCACGATCCAGCTGGTATTTTTTGCTTGTTGTGATTGTTGGCCACAATCTCATGGATACCAAGCCTGGGGAGATGGAGAGGGCTGTTGGAAAGGGGTCTGGTTTGGTCCCATTTGTGACAACAGGCAGCTGCAAACCCACTAGATTCTCAAACAGGCTGCAAGCAAAGGAGTGTGACTAGAAATAAAGGACATTACACACTAAATTTAGATATGAACCCTTTTAAAAACCACTAAAGGTGTTTGCTAAATCACAGGCAGCCCTTTCTTGTGACACCTGGGTCTAAGCAGCACCACCTTGGCTCTTTCTAGAAAGCACAGGTTGATTTTAAGCCTGCATGATGCTAAACACAAAATAATCTCTTAGTGGCCTTGCCCATCAGGAGAGGAATGAGTACATGATCCATTATAAAATGGAGGATAGAAATCTATTTGGGAAAGATAAACTCATTTTGATTCTGGATACATCATCAACAAAGCAATAAAAAACATGTGTTTGCTTCTTTTCCTCTTTGTGTAATGCTTCAAAATTTATGATGGTCAAGCGTGAAACAGGAAATAATGTAGCAGATATCTAAAGATAACATTTGGTGACAGCAAAAGGAGCTCAACCTCCTGCAAACCTGTTTTGCAGCTTGTTCTCTATCACATACTATTCTCACCTTGTGCTAGTTCCAGAGAAGAGACTTAATATCTAGCCAAATCAGAAGTATTTGTTACACATCATTGATGTTCTGACTGTTGTAGCATATACACTACTTACACTCAGGTTTTTTTCCTAGTTCTGTGAAGGCTGACACAGCCTTCTCCAATCAAAGGGCATTATCCTCCTCTTACAGGAGGGCAGAATTTATTCCTGGGTTTACAAAAGCTCCAAGGGTAGCTGGACAGGATTACTAGGAAGGATTATGCAAGGCACTGTTAAAGAACTACTTCAGAAAAAAAAAGGGGGAAAAGAAAAGAAAAAACAAAAACAGGTCAGCAGTCAAAAATCTGTTTTCACAATGTCGTGTAGATCTGTAGTAGAATCTTACAAGCAGAAAACTACTAACAGGAAGAGGGAATATTTCTGTTTCAGCTTTCTTTTCAGTTAAGGACTAAAGTAACTCATCTATTTTTCTTTTTCTTTTAGGTTAATATATAACAGTAGTACATAAAAGGTTCAGTTTCGGGGGAGGGAAGCCGGGTGGTTTACATGTCAGGCCAAATTCAGATCCCATTACTCACATTAGCAAGCAGTTACACAAAAGACCTCAGTTACTTCAGTGGGATTAATCACGGGGTAAGGTTCCACTCCAACTGAATGAGTAGCAAAATTTGCCTCTAAATTACATACAGCTAATATTTTAGAAATCCTAGATAATCTATATAAATATACATGATCTCCACAAGAGACGAGTTACAACAGTCAAAGTTCATTGTATTTTTGCATAAAAATGTATATTCAGTTCCCTAAGAATCCTAAATTTGCCAATCATTGCAATACTATATGAAAAGTTTGAGAACATAATCTTCAGGCAATTAGAGATAATCATCTAAAAATCTAAATATTTTTTTGCATTACCAGGAATGAGATATCTGAATGAAGTCATTGTAACTGACTTTGTAAAATGATGGAGAATCTTACTTGGCTGAAAAGTTTTGAAACCCCTTTAGCATGTTCAAAATCTGGTCTTCCAAGCACTGCAGTCTCCTTATTCATCTCTCCCCTTCCTTTCTTGTACTCAGCCTTAAAACAACAAAAAAAAAAAAGCAATCAATCACTATTAAATTGTTCTGTTTTGTTTTATTAACAGAAATGTAAGTGTTCAAGCTCGTAGAAAATGTCTTAATGATCCACATTGGCACCACTGTTGTGATCAGCTCTGACTAAAGCCCTTCTCAGGGTTCAGCTCCTTAACAACACAATATTTACTTACTGTAAAACACAATGCACAGCATTCACAAAATCCAACTTTAACCAAATGCATAGCTTAAGCCTGAGAAATACTGTTCTCCCAACCAAGGTAGAATGAGTTACAGTGGCTCAGCATTTCTTACAACAAGGTCTGTAGTTAACATTACAGTGGCTCAGCATTTCTTACAACAGGGTCTATAGTTAACGTAAGATTATTTGTAGCAGCTGAAAGTAGTCTTGAAATAAAACTAGACTAAGGGGCAGCTTTTTTTTGAAATGTAAGGTCAAATTCCACTCTCAGTTTTACCACTGCAATCTTGCTGGATGTCAGTGAGATTGCACTGGTATAACAGAGTGGAATTAGTCCCAGAAGGTTGATGTTACTTGATCTTCCCAGCTGACTTGCCTCCCATGCAAATTGCCTCAATTTTTCCCCACAATGCTTTAGAAAAGAGCACAGATGAATCAACAATAGGTGCTTTGCAAGACCACAAACTAAATTACCCGTTGCCTAAAATAGACTTCCTGCATTACTCAGGCACTGTGAATCAGCAAGGACACATCACAACAACAGACTGGGAGAAATAGAAGTCCCAAAGCCACTCTGAGAGAGCTTGAACAGCAATTAGTAAATTTGTTTGTTGAGCATAACACTAAAGAGAAGTTCTTGGTTTTCAAAAAATCCTAAATATTAAAAAGGGAATCTCAGACCCCTTAAAACTGCTTTTCCATAGGTGCCTTATACTCAATCTCACATTTAATTATTATCATTATCAGTTACTTAAAATCTTGGCACAGACCTTGTAATATATATATTGTTTGACTTGTCTACAATTAAATATTAACCTGCATCACACACTACGACTCCTCGAACTCCTCCTTCACCTGTCCATTAGTCAGTATCACAGGGGGAGGGCAAAGAATTTGAGAGGGGATTTCAGGGGGGAGAGACCCCATGCACGAAGCAGAGTTTTGCACAGCTCTCAGGTGGACAGTAAGGCTGAGATGGGAGGAGGAAGGGGAGTCCTGGGATGCTTCTCGTGTTCCAAACTGAAAAAAGGTTTGGTAAGTCTTATGAAGTTCAGTATAGCATACCAGCATATGACTTATTTTGTGACTGGTTATCATGAATAAAGCTGAACTGAAGCGGACTTTAGTGAGTTTAACATTGTCGTTAGATCAATTTCCAATAATTGCAAAGATCATACTGTCAACATAAGAAAAGAATAAAACCATAACTTTCTAAGATACCAGGCAAGACCAGGCATATTTTTGTTGGGTTTGGGGTTTTTTTAATCATAGAATCAACCTGATTGGACAAAGTGAAAAAAGGTTTGGTAAGTCTTATGAAGTTCAGTAGAGCATACCAGCATATGACTTATTTTGTGACTGGTTATCCTGAATAAAGCTGAACTGAAGCCGACTTTAGTGAGTTTAACATTGTCGTTAGATCAATTTCCAATAATTGCAAAGATCATACTGTCAACATAAGAAAAGAATAAAACCATAACTTTCTAAGATACCAGGCAAGACCAGGCATATTTTTGTTGGGTTTGGGGTTTTTTTAATCATAGAATCAACCTGATTGGAAGAAACCTCAAAGATCACTGAGTCCAACCCTACTGTGGTTACTAGCCCATGGCACTAAGTGCCACATCCAGTCTCAGCTTGAAAACCTCCAGGGATGGTGAATCCACCACCTCCCTGGGCAGCACATTCCAATGCCTGAGCACTCTCTCTGTAAAAAATCTGTTCCTAATATCCAACCTAATCAAACCTCCATATCAGATTTGGGGTTGCAGGTTTTCTGCTCAAGACATTGGAGAATTTCCGCAGTATTCCACAAAAAAATCTGATTGAAATTGGAATATATAAAATAACGTCTAAAAATACAAATAGAGTAAAAGGAGAACATACATCACTTATTATCTTTGTTATCCCAGTTGCCATCTTTATGTCTGGCCTGTTCAGCACTTCAGTGTACCTATGAGTATCTTGCACATCCTTCTTATAGGATACCTGTCAAACAAAAAAACCAGTTTTGTTTAAAATAAACAAAAATATTTGAAGTTTATAAATAAGCTTTGAATGACCTATCAACTCAGCCATCAAATTCAATAGAACTCTGCCTAATTTATTCCAACACAGTTCTGCTTGACAGGGATTATTTAGTAAGATCCACACACAGGTTAACAGGATAAGGAAGAAATTCAGAAGCATAAAGTACAGTATGAAAATGAAAAATGATTCTGCCTAGAAGCATAGTAGAAAATAAAAGCACTGCAAAGACCCAAATATTAGGTTTTATCATTAAATTTCAGTGGAAGTACACCATTTTTTCTTCTATGTTATGCCTTTTTTTAATATAAACTAACCTCCTATCTGATACTGAGCACTGCAGTCTAGCAGATTGCAGCTACACTTAACAGAAACTGCCACTCTACCACAGCAAATGTCTTTCTCAGTAGCAGGCAGCCATGTAGCTGGTATGTAATTCAATGATACAACTCCACCTCAGCATCCCCACAACGCCACTTATCTCCTCCTTTACACAATCACAGGAACAAGAAGGCTGAGTGTTCCAGCATGTGGAGTACAAGACTGAATCCTTCTGTTTGTGCAAAAGCCACTACTATAATGAATGGGCTCAGGATACTTTGGCCAGAAGGCTAAACCACAGGTAGGAGAGTCCAAACATTCTCCATTTAGCAAAGTAATCACAGAACCAGCAGAGACCTCAGGGACATTACAGAGCTCCACAAGTTATCTTTCTTTTCCATCTTCAGGGTTTGTAAACGTTTTTCTTGCTGAAGCATGTGTCAATCTAAGCCAATTTCCAGGGGCTGTCTTACTCAATTATTTTGAATGATTAAGAATATCGTCCCTGGTATTGAAAAGTGTCTGACAAACTGAAGTTTCAGGCAAAAGTTAGTGAACATAAAATAAAATTTATAGGAAACAGAAAGTACCAGAATAATTCTTCCTTTACTGGAAAATCTTTCGTATTTTCTTCTGTTGTTTCATAAAGTTAATCAACCTCTCAAAATAGTATTTCACCAACAAGAAAGTCCTCAGCTTGAAGCTTCTCCTTATAACCTCCACTCCTATTTCCAATGTAAAGTTTCACTCTAGGTACAATGCAACAAGCCCATAAACTGCAGCAGTCAACAACAAATATAATTTGTAGAAATGTTATTCCAAAAGGAAAGAAAAAAACTCTCAGTTTTTGGCAAATATTTTACATGCAACAGGAAAGTAATTTTGTGCCCATATGGCTTCAGCTAAGTAGGCAAGCTGAAGAGGCTTCACAGTTGACTGCCTGCCCACAAATAAATCTTATAATTTTTAACCTACCATGAGTGACACACAAGTGTAATGACTGATAAAGTAAACAAATAAATAGGTTGGATGAATACAGACTAAAATATCACCTACCTAGAAAACAAAAGTTGATTCTTACAGTTGGTTTAAAGCACTGTAAGTTTAGTTTTGGATACATTCAGATTTCCTCTAATTTTTAAGAAACTGGATGTACAGAGAAGCATTTGCAATTCAGGACTTCACATGAATTTAGTTAATTATATGCTGTTCATCCTAATGACCACATGAGGTGAGGTGAAAACCACAAATGTGGCAGAAACAGGTTTCTGAAGAGCACCCTATCATCCATGTAAATTGCAAATTAAAGGCCAGCATATGTGCTCAAAATAGAAATTAGGAATGTAGTGAATTCAACATCAGAGAATCAAGAACAGTGGTGATAAAGTTGAGGAAATGTGGTCACTTATTGCTCCCAAATGACATGATCATATAGTACATGAAATAATGGATTGTGGTTAATTTCAGGGGAAAAGGGGCGGGGGAGAAATAAGACAGTGACAGTCCTTTATATTTCACCATTTCCAATTATATTAGATGCAAGGCCAATTGCTATAGCTCTCCCTGAGTGAATTATTATTCTTCCTGCACCTAAACCAGTATACCTATTACTTATGTCTGAGGAAAAGTCATCTAGCATTTTACAAATGTCTGCAATATATATTTGCTCCATTCTGCAGCTTGTCATACTCCGGTGAGAATAAAAATGTTATGCAGCAGAACAGTAGTTTGTCAGAGATAGGCCAAAGAAAGAAAAAATATGTTTCCCATTTCCTGAATAACCTCAATCCCTGGATGCTGACCCTTTCCCATTGGGACACTCTGCTGGCCTCTATTACACAGCTGCTATTCTGCTCCATCTAGTGATTCTGGTTTTTAATAGTGCTATGTTAGAACAGTAAAACCAGAGCTATTCTGAGAAAGCAGAGGAACAGATGTAGACAGGGCAAAGCAACCAGCTTGGTGTCTGCACCCATGGGCATCAAGAAGATGGAAAGTGAAGCAGCCTATGAAAGGAGAAGAGAAAACAAAGCCTGGTCAAGCAACAAAAGAAACAGCAGAAGCACCCAGGGTAGGGGCTATCTTTTCTCCTGAGTTGATTCAGCCCCTTAACAAGAGGCTCAAACCCTGACTATTTCAGATCTCCTCCAGGCACTACACGATGCCCTTTCTCAACCCTCAATTCAAAGGGTTGCTCAAGCTCTACCAAAAAACATTGCCAAAGGCTCAAGAATTGTTCCTCTTTATGAGTAACACAGGTTTAGCAGAAATCTGCTCAAACTGGTTTTTGCATAGGAAAAAGTAACTGAGATCCTGACAACTTTAGAGCAGCAATGAAAGACCTAACTGGAAGTTAGAGCAGATGATTGGGAAATGCAAGTGAGAAAGAAGCAGGGACTAAAAACCAAAAACTAGTGCCATCTCTAGTGTTGAAGTTCAAGTGAGAAAGAAGCAGGGACTAAAAAACAAAAAATAGTGCCATCTCTAGTTTTGAAGTCGAAAATAGTAAATTACACATGCCAACTACATTTAAAGTGGTTTCCTACCCTCATTTGAAATCATAATAAAAAGTGGTTACATTGTTGAATATTTTTAAGAACCAATAACCCAAACAAAACATTCCTCGTATTAAATCCCTGGTTACATTGTTGAATATTTTTAAGAAACAATAACCCAAACAAAACATTTCTCGTATTAAATCCAAAACATGACTATATACCCTGAATTGCAACTAATTTTAGTAAAGCATGGAAAATATTCAGGGACTTCTCATTATTAGTAGACTGATTTTAATAGGGCCAAAACTCCAGCTCTTATAAAAAGGAGTAAGATCCACTGAGGATAAACATGCTGGTCTGTTTACTCCAGCTAAGGGTCTGGAAGATGCTTCACTGAGGATAAACATGCTGGTCTGTTTACTGCAGCTCAGGGTCTGGAAGATGCTTCATCTTTCATGGTGGTGCCAGTGCACTGGAATGCACCTCAATGCCATAGAGTAAACAGATTTCTAACAATGCTGCAAAACACCTCAGGCTGTCAATCAACAAATGGAAACTTCTACATGGTGACCCAAGCAAACCTGGGACTAAGAGATTCAGACCTTTCCTGTAATCTTTTACCTTCTTGCCTATTCCGTTTCCAAAACTATTCCAAGTTATAGGTAATAAACTATTAAAATATGCACAAGCAGCTATGAACACATTTTCTCCTCCTCTTAAGATGCACACACAGAAGTCAGCAAGAAGCTGGGCACACCTGTCTGCACAAGAATTTGTCTCTTCATGGTTTGTCCCTGCTTAGGACTTTCTAAGAGCTGTAAGTCCATTAACTAATGGCCTGTCAGCTGTGTCTCTGCACCCTTTTCTCCCATCTGCACTTTGGGGTCCATCAACACTAAGAAAATGACTAGCTGGTGGCAATCATCATTGGCAACAGCTTTTCTGATTCCCACTCAAATGGTGTTGAAAACTGTTTCCCGGCTCGTGTAAAAGAGACAAACACATTTTCTGGCCCATTATAGATTGATGCAGTCATCCTTTCCAGTAATGGGCTTGAAAATTGATTGGTCCCAATTACATCAGGAGTAAACACATCATTTTCAGCACCAGTTGGAAGTGGTCCAGGGGGACCCACTGTTGACAACCACTGTCAGCAGAAAGTTAGTCAGTGAAAGGTGATTTTTCTAATGCAGATGCTGAACAGAGAGCCAGGAGAAGCCTGATTTTAACATGATCTGCATTAAAACAAACATCAACATTCAGGTATGTTATTCATGGGGGTTAAGCATATCAGGTTTAGGATCTGTTGATTTGATCTTATCAGAAAGATCATACTTTTTATTGTGTGGATTCTGACTGCAAAATATCCTGACCATGAAAAATACTTATTCCTAAAACAATAACGACTTCTTAAATATTCAAATTTGGATGGTGGGTGAAACATTAGAAATTACCACTACTGACATCATGTGGTGTGCAAAGTGTATACATATACACCAAAATTTTGCCCAACTGTCAACTAAGCTTTTAAAAGCAGCACTGTTTTGTACATAAACATAAGAGAAAAGATACCAGAGCTGCAATCTCAAATATGTGAACTGCCTTTGAAATGTCCATAGATGTGTCTATTGCAGTTTTCTTATTTTTAAAACCAGAACATCACTTTCTTATTTCATACCATACAGTGCTGTGAGGAGAATCAGTAATTTTGACCAAGTAGAACACTTAAATCGGTGTACAAATATTTAACATTGTTTTGTTATTTATAATGCCCAGTGATGGACTGGGTCATGGAACAGACAAAACCTTTATCCACAGCTTTGAGTACCTTCATCAAACGCTATGGGCAGCTGCCACTTAGGAACAATGTGGCAAATGGTTTCATTGCTCTGGAAACATAGCTGTGATGTCATTTCACTGTTCAATTTACATTCTTCTATCAGTGTGATTCTCAGCTACACATAAGGAAAACCACTATTTTGTGACCTGATGGTTTTCTAAGGGCCACAACCTAGTTTTGGTCCCAAGTTTGGAAACTTCCAGATGAGCTAAATGGCACCAGCTAAGCACAGACATAAAGTAGGCTGATGGTCCCTACTTGACTCATCCATAAATGCCTTTGTGTGCCAAAGTCACATCATTAACATTCACTTCACAAAACACAAACACAATTCATAGAGAAAAGTAGTCTGGTTTGGATAAACATGCTTTTGTTCAAGCATTATGTAGTATTTAAATTCTTTTTCAAGTACATTTCCTACAATTAAAAAAGTCACTTTTGTGCTTTTGAGAGCAATTTTCTTCAGTCTAAGTATGAAGAAGAGAAAAATTATTTTCTTAGACCTGATCACATTGTACAGGATATTTTACAGTATTTCCCTGTTACACAGATTCTGCCCACACTTAGAGAGCATGTTAATGATATTCAAAGTGGTGTGAAAGCTTACAGCACATGACAGTTTGAAAATGTCAGCACAAATGTATTGTAAGTTGAATACAGTTTTAATTTTTAAAGGAAATTGCACATTTCAAAGAGTTGAGTATAAATGTCAGCCTTATTTTAAGGCTGAGTAAATAGTCTTAAACACACCCTAATCCTATTAGATGCAAGCCCTCCATGTAAAGGTTGAATTGAGTTGGCAAAACATTGTAGGTAAACAGGCATTCTGCTCCCACAGGTAAACTACTGAGTGGTGGATAAAAGAGCTTTGTTATTCTGGTCCCCCAGTAGCTTCCTTCCTTTTTCCCTGCACTTTCAAAGCTGTGATTACAGAGATAGCCTGAAATAGTTCTGAAAGACAAATGCTCCACATTTGGGATGCTGACTGTTCCATGCTCTGACTCAAAGAAGAAAACTCAGGTGGCTCTTAATTAAACCTGTACTAACAAAACAAGAAATCCACAGCTATTCCCTGTGGTGCTCAGTGATCACCCACAGGAGCTGTGGAGCTCCACTGAACAATAACTGGACTTACATAACCTGCTCCTTTATGTGTGATAAAGACATGTCCCCATTGCACTGCAGCTATTCATGAGCAACCAGAAAGAATCTGTTCTTAAACAGAGTCAACTCACTGCTTAGAGTTTTAGGTTGGATATGGAGGGTTTATTTGATTTTTGCTCCAGATAAAAATAATTTTCTTCATATTTTTTTCAGTGTTTTTAACATGCTGTTATAAGTTCTCATTTATCAAAATATTCTTCCCTCCTATGTTTGCTTCATTTCCTTTTTTTTTTTTTTTCTGCTTTAAGGGTGAAACTTTTTTTTTTTTTTTTTTTTGCTTTAAGGGTGAAAGAAGAAGATGAAACAACTGAATTTCGTTTACCCTCACATCTGTACCCTGCTCTCCCTAATTCTGTTAGCAGGTGATGTGCAGCTGTAGAAGGGGAATGGGTTTTGCACTAGCATACTAATCCTCAAACCATGATGAATTTGATACAGGAACTCATCTCATATTCATCCTGGTCCCACCACCTCTCTGAGAGGGATTCCCATCTCTCTTTTAGAACATTATTTCCTTCCTACATCTCTCTTTTAGAACATTATTTCCTTCTTTAGAACATTATTATTCTTACTGCTAGGTAAAAAACCCTCTTGCTTATGGGGAGAGACATTGGAGTTCTCAGCTCCTACACTCTGTTAGTGTGACATCCTGATGCTTCCAACAGCAGAGACGACAGAGTTTGACAGGAAGAGGGAATTCTCTAATCAAGGCAGGTTGCAAATTACTGCTGGGAGTTCCAGGGCAGGTATTTCCCAGCAGAAGAAAAAAGTTATTCTTCAAACATAATGCTTCCCTGAAGTTTTCCAGCAGCCTTTTAATCAGCAGCCAGCTGTCAAGATTCTGCACACACAGACATCCATCTAACACTGACATTTAGTTTTCAGCCTACATAACCTAAGAATGTTTGTTACACTGTCAGGAGGGAAGATAAGGTAAATATAGGAAATTTCAAACTGAATGCCCAAGTTTCATTTTCTACATAGTGAGCAGCAAGTAGATACCCCATTTACCAAGAAACAAGAATTGTAAAACAACATAGTTGCCTGACTAGACTTGGTTACCTTACAAGACTGGGTGAGCAGCAAGTAGATACCCCATTTACTAAGAAACAAGAATTGTAAAACAACATACTTGCCTGACTAGACTTGGTTACCTAACAAGACTGAAAAAGGATCATAACTTTCAAGGTATTCACCTCAGCTGATCTTAAGAGCTTTGTCTACCCTTTCAAATATTTTAGCCAATCTTCTCCTAGAATTTACTTTTCTCAAAAGTAAGCCTTTATAAAACCTAAAACTAACCCTCATTTTTCTTCAAAGTTATGTTTGTATCATTCACAACACCAATCTGGGTAGCATATCTACCCAAAGCAATGGTACACACTGAGCTAGTTTAACCATGAAATCAAACCTGGCTTGATTCTAATAAAAATTGTAAAAACTATTATTAGGCTCTTTATATTGTGAAAATCTACAGAACTTAAAGAAGATTACAAGCAGCAGGGGAAAAAAGCAACCAACTTTCAAAATATTGCTTAGTACTCTAAATTATTTGTAAGTTATCTAACTAAAATGATAAGAACTTTGGTCAAACTACAAATACTTTGGTCAGTTATAAACCAGTGTCAAGCATCAAACTGAACTCTATGGTTCAGATTCTGTAAAATATAAGTAAATAAATTAGCCTATTAAGTTCTTTTAAACTCACTTGATGTGTGCTCATGAGATGAGAACAAAGATATGTATGTGCATAAAAGTCTCCTCTGCAGAGCATCCCTGAAGGACTGTCCAAGTATTAATAGTGTAAGACACTGAAACAAAGCTGGTGTTCATGTAAACAAAGAGCTTTAGATACTTTTAAAGTACAAGTGAATCCAGAAAATCTGCGTTTGCAATTTTATTTCAAAGTGATAGCACTTAATAACAAATACTATTGATAAACAGTCACAACTGCTTTCCACTGCAGTTCAGAATAAAGGTCACATAGGGTTACTCACAGCATATTTTATACACACATTATGTCCCAAATTACTTCACAGAAAAGAATGGGAAAAAATACCAACTAATGAAATATGAAAAAATTCCATGCCCAATTCATTTCCGTTAGATGGAACAGATGTATCTCCCCAAAACAAGGAAACTCATTTCAGGTGGGGCAGTACTTACATTGCTCTGGTGTTTACTGACTTCCATGGCATGCTTAACATCTGGAGGCTCCTTCATATGGGCATAATCTGAGATTCCTCTCTCAGCATCATGTTTTTGTTTATAGAGAACCTGAAAAGAGCAACATTATACTTTAGAGACCTGAGCAGAGCAGGTATAATAACATCAGCTGGGTTAAACCTAATGTCTTAGTGTGCCTGTATTCAGGAAGAAACAATAAATAATTAAGCTCCTTAATGACCCAGAGCCCTGAAACGAGAACAGCTTCCACCCAACACAGAGACATAGGAGGCAGAGCCAGCAGAGAGATTGCTCTGCATCTGTTATTGCAACAGAGGAATGAGTAGACAGGGGGAAGAAAAAGTAATATACAGAAACAGAAAATTAAGCTTAACAAGGTGAGAAGACAGCCCAGGGAAAAGCATATGCATAAGTGTGGGTTTTTTTCTCAAAACACTCTTCAGTTTATCAGCTATGTAACTATTCCAGAGGGCTTTTCCTCCCTATTTTCAGAAAAAAAAAAAACCAAACCATAAATTTATGCATTCATCATAAACAAATAGTTTTACATGAAATACTCATAGCCCAAACTTCTATTTATTCCACTGTTAGGAAACTACAAGCACAATATGCATTTTGACTAGCCCCCAGGTTCACAAAGAAAAATAATATTTATATTCAACTGCCACCACGGTAAAGGAAAATGGAATTGAATTGTGAGTTTATAAACAAATTTATTTATATAATAGGAATGGAGCTCAATGTTGGGCACTCATCCAGCTTTCATTGTACTGTGTTATACTTACACATACACACACACATATACTAAAACTGCCTAAAAAGCTGATCTTGCACTTATCCTTGTCAGAAGCTTTTAGGCTTACATTAAGGAAATTCAGCAGGTTTTGATGCCTAAAAAGCAGCAAAGCATCAAGAAAATTCATTTTCTAAAAGCTCTCATGAACAAGCATTAAAATAATCCCCAATAAAATAGCAAATACTAAATAAGATTGAAAGCTGATCAGGAGGAGGAGGATTGAAACTAAAACCCTTGATAGCAGTAAAAGAATACTGTGGAAGTTTTGAGATGGGAACTCCCAGCTGTGGTGATTGGGACTCTTTTAGAACAGGATACTAGAACTGAGAGAAAATATTGTATATTTGTGTCTAAAGCAGGAAGATTGCATCTGTGTCACAGAGCAGGGTGCCCAAGGAAATATGTTGTTAGTGTGTTAGGATCTGCCCTGACTATCTCAGATTACAAAATGATATATAGGTGGAGAGATTTAAACAAAAACGAGAGGTATTTTTGCACTGCTGCGATGTGATTGAAAGTATCAAATCAGGAAACTTAAAATGTGCCACCTCCTTATACAGTGCAACATGATCAGGCATCTGGGGAAACAAACACAACTTCAACTGAAAGAAAAATACTCCATAACCTGCCTACACTGGTCACATTTTGCAAATGAAAAACACATAATCTTTAACAAGGCTGAAGCATCACTAACAAATGATTCCCTGCAAAATGTAATTATTATATAAACATATGCCACAAAAGCTCTTTAGCTACTTCTTTCTTACAGTGTCATTTTTAAGATGTTACCCACTTAACACCATTCTGAAAAGCAGACCCATACTGTTACTTCCAAAATCTACTCATTTACAGATATTTCATTACATTGCCACTCTGCTGGTTCAATATCTCTATTTTTGTCTTGCCAAATGGGCTACATAACCAAGACACCAAAAAGCAATAGCACATCAACTCCCAATGTGAGAAAATTAACAGAAATTACAACTAAGTATCCACTATCTTGGGAAAAGATGACCTTTTCTTTAGCTTAATGTAGCAATATTTCACTTGCTCTTTGGCATCTATGTGCTTCCTATATTTTCACAATATCCTTATTAACCCACTTAAGGAATCATGAAGCAATCACAGGAGCTGTTCAATGACTGTCTAGTTTAGTTCTGCGCAGTTTAGTGTAGAACTATTCCCAGGTTTGTAAACCAGTTCCAAGGAAGCATAAAATAATTTTTTATTATTATTATTATTAATTCATCAGTATTCTTAGAACCATTATTTCACAGGTTAGCATGTGTACATTTATTTCTCATGTTAATTTTCAAGTTTTGGCTAAACTGAATTTTCTTTATCATATACATATGAAACTACTCTACAGAAAGATCAAGTATTACAGGTCACTGACATAACCTCTACCCTGTAGTGGCACCATTTGCTAACTTGAGAAATACAAGGCAATTATTTAAGTAAGTATGACTTCAGACTGAACTAATTTGTAAGTACTCATTTTTTATTTTTCTTATCTATCTTGTACACCAGAGTGTCAATAGGAAGCTGCATTAAGGAAGTCTTTGTGCTCTTTTAACTTATCTCTGACTGACCCTCTGTTTTGGCACACTTTAAATACTATTACATTTTTATAGGTCCCTTTATGGTCAGTAAACTGAACTCTGAAATTAAAATCCACAAAGTAGAATTTTGTAGGAGAAACTGTTCAAGAATACAGAAAATGTCATTTTAATCTCTCCTTAGAGAATTAGATTATCCAATGTATTTGTGTAAAACTGAAGTATAGAAGTCCTGGAGACTAATACCTACCACCATGAAACAGAGGGAATCTTGAACATGGCATTTCACGCCAGAAATAAAATAAATAAAAAAAATATTGCAGAAAACAGTCTGATCATGTTATAAGATTCTAAATGACCATAAAAATTTAATTGTAGTAAAAAAAGATGATGAAACTTTCTCTGGAAGTTCAAAATACTGCTTAAGATTCACTTGGAACATCAGCTTTAAAACCAAAGAGAAAATACTGTTGAGCATTGACATATAGTTACTCTTTGAGATATTGCCCTGTGCAAAGGATAAAATTAAACTGCCTTCAGTTTGCTTTAGATTATTCCTTTCAGATAAGAGGAAATACAGTGCAATTGCTTCTTATGGCAGAAATAAAGTGATGAAACGCTTACTTTTTCTCAATATTGTTTCCCCTTCAAGCAATTTTAAATACCTTTATCATTGTTTGTGACACCCTATTACAAAAAATATTGCTCTTCGTAAGGAAGAATTCAGTATACTGGTCTTCAGAAAACAAAAAGACTTGGCACAGAGCTAGCAACAATCAGAAATTTTCCTTAAGAAACATTTCCTACAGGAAAATTGCAATTTTTCCAAAATATGTCCATTTCTTCTCAGGAAAATAAAAATGAAAACTCCCTGCCTAGACCATTCTCATCAAATTCTTTTTCTCATTGCAGAGAACAGGGAAATTGGTGAGAGATTTGTAAACTGGTAAGGAGGGTGAAGCTCTACATTGGGGACAGTTATGACTAGAGACAGAGAGGGAAGCAAAGCTGGTTGCTCACCATCAAGAAAACTACTCAGAGGACAACAGTCAAATTTTCTCTGTAGAGGAAAAAATGAAATGGATATAAGCCACCCAACTATGTGGGGCCATGAAAATTCTTTTTCATTCTCCTGAAACGTTTTTTCTCAGAAACAGTGTCACGATTTTTTTGTGACATAGATGTCCTTCTCTATGGGTATTTATTTCCATCTTCGTGCCAGTTCTACAAAAACCACAAAAGAGCAAATGTGGGTGTCACGCAAAAGCCAGCAGAGTTGGCCATGTTTCAGCCTTTCCTGAGTATCTTGAAGAGGGAATTGAGCATGAATCAATACAGCCAATGCAAGGAAAAAGCTCCACAGGAAGAGAAACACAATTTTCAGGGTGCTGGACACTCCACTATGGCAAGATCCATGTGTCAGTGCTGACATTGCATGGGTGACAGAAAGAGGTCCTGGTTCTGCTGAAGTTAACGACAATTGGCATGTGACTTGAAGCATGCAAACATGGTCAATGGTGCTGTGGCAGTCTGTTCACTCTGGAGGAGACAGTGAAGGGCAGCTGTAGATGGGAAATAACTTGTGCAATGCAGAAAATTCTGCCTAGTTGTCTCCAAGCTCCTAAACAATGATGAATTACTCAACTGGACTACATCTAGGTAGGCTGAAGATAAGAGCTGCTGGGCAGCAGCAGTGCAGCAGCACTTCAGGAGCAAACATCAAATGATGGGAGAGACCATTTGCTGAGGACACAGCTGTGTCAGGACATCCCCCAGCAGAGGCACACCAGCCTTGTGCCCATAGGCAGCAGTGGAGAGTCAATCGCTCTCTTTCTTCCACACCATGATACTCTAGTCCCAATACACCTGCCTGGCAGATGGAGCTATGGATCCTGCCAAGAACATCATACCACAGGGCGAGAAAACTCCTTCTTGATCTGGCTGTAAGAGCATGCAAGCCCAGCATTGCATCCAAGGAGCAGGAAAAGGGAGCCAAAGTGTCGTGGTTTAACCCCAGCAGCAGCCAAGAACCACACAGCCTCGCACTCTCGCCCCCACCAATGGGATGGGGGAGCAAATTAGAAGGGTAAAAGCTACAAAAACTCATGGGTTGAGATATAGACAGTTTAATAGAGAAAGCAAAAGCTGCACACACAAGCAAAGCAAAACAAGGAATTAATTCACTGCTTCCCACAGACAGGAGGTGTTCAGCATCTCCAGGAGAGCAGGGCCCATCACGCGTAACGGTTCCTTGGGAAGACAGACGCCATCACTCCAGATGTCCCCCCTTCCTCCTTCTTCCTCCCACCTTATACACTGAGCATGATGTCCTATGGTATGGAATATCCCTTTGGTCAGTTTGGGTCACCTGTTCCAACTGTGTCTCCTCCCAATCTCCCATGCACCCCCAACTTCCTTGCCAGCGTGGCAGTATGGAAAGCAGCAAAGGCCTTGACTCTGTGTGAGCTCTGCTCAGCAATAACAAAAACATCTCTGCATTATCAACTCTGTGTTCTGCACAAAACCCAAACACAGCCTCATACTAGCCTCTATGAAGAAAGTTAACTCTACTCCAGCTCAAACCAGCACACAAAGGTTCTCATTTGTTCTAACATGGATGGGGAGGAGGACATGTACCAGTATTTTCTAGCTCTCAGGAAGTCAGCAGCTGTTTGAAATCATCTTTCAATAACTGAGAACCAGACTGCAGGTTCTAAGCTTGCAGCAGCCTTTTTGCAGGAGTTTTGGCACAATGGCTAGCTGGTGCTGTCCTCTTTCCTTCCTATGGCATATCCATGGTCTCCCCCTGAAGTGATGGAAATTCACAATCTCAGCTAAATAGATGCAGCTGAAACCTCCTCTGACATATTCTGACCCAGTTGAAATCTGAAATCCTTGTATTAGCTACTTAGGTACCGCAATGATAGGCACAATATGGATTAGATTTGAATACTGTGGAGAAGATTTTCGCTAGAAAATCCCCTGAGATCTCTCTCAAAGTAGCATTAAATTCAGGTCCACTGCAACAGTAACCACAAGTTGGAAAAATGTGTCAGCATATCTTTAAGTTTTATGGTAGGTTATGATTTATAATGCATCCATTCCCAAGGGGATGCTATGAATTTTATAGGAAAAATTTTCTGCTTAAATATAACTCACCCTATATGCATATTTGTTTCTCTGTGACTGTTGGATGATTGAAGAAAACCTACAAAAACTATCAAATTAAAATGCATTTTTCCTTAAAAGGGGGGTTTTCTTTGATGAATCAATGGTTTCATTTTTATTTTCAGTTATTCATCTTTTCTGCCACATCACCAATGTTAATCAACCTCATTTGCATAAACTAATGTAGAATGTAATAATTTGGAATTAATCCAGGAGTAAATCTGTAGCAAAAGAGTTAACTAATGTTTTATAAATCAAGCTAATGGTTTTAAAATGTTATACAAGTTTAATTCCCAATTTATTTCTACTGTAATTCCTCTAATCACTCACTTTACAATGAAATGTCATATTAATGACATTTCAGCTACTGTGCTGCTTTGAGTGTATATATGTTCCATTTCAAACTATGAAACCTAAAATATACTTTATGTTATTATAAGTGCTAAATATAGATTAGAGTAACACACTGTTTTATATCAAAACATTTCTCCACAAGCTGTCCTGATATTTCAGTCCTTTCTTTTGTAATGAATATTTCCCTTTGTCTGTAAAAATATCACTGCATTAGAAGAATGCATATTGAGATAGGATCAATATTATGGATTTAGGAGCATGTTCACTTCACACACTGGCTGCATTAAGCTACATGTAGTTATTATCTTAAAGACAGGAGAAAGAAAAGAACAAGAAAAATGTGGAAATCCTTGGTGGACAGAAAGCCATGACTATCTATCAGCAGTAATTCTCATGAGTAATAATGAAAATCTGTAACTTCATTCATATTACACATACTTAACACAATTTCACTGAGATCAATGGAAGTGAAGGGTCACCTGCCTACATCTAGGGGATTATATTTTTAAGTCCCTGCAGGCCAATGAACTGGAATTTAGTCTTTTACTGGTTGTTTACATGCTTTACGTTATGTTCAATATACTTGATTTCATCTTTTTAATTGTATAACATTTCTCGTGAGTAGTAGTATGTAGACCATCAGAAATACATTTACTGCTACCAGTAAGTGCCTTTAAAAGTCATTAAAGTTGTGGGGGTTTTTTCTTTTACCTTCAGCATCAAGCATTTTCTATAGCTAATACAACACCCAATTTGAAATAGCTGTTATATAAGATTCATCTATTCTATAAGCACAGTGTAATGCCACTGAATTCAATAATTCCTTATTGCATTCATAGATTTCCAATGGATTTCACTGGATTGATGAATTCACTAGCAGCTTTCAAGTGAATATTTAATAAAAAAACAAGTGAGATTGCCAACACTTTAAAAGTGAGTAGCTCTTGAAGTTAAGAAGTTACTGTGATCAACCCCAGATGATAAATTCACCCAAATAAATCCAGCAGGCAATCAAATGTCCACTCAAATACATTGTTCAAATTGGACATATTCTGTCACACAATCTAAAAATCATTTTTGCTATTCATAAATTGTACCTGGCTCTGAAGCTGCATTAATTCTTTTGCAAATACACTGTCAGTTGTGGATGACATCTGCTGATAAAGAGAGTTGGGAAGGTCTTTCTTAGCAGCTCCTTTATACTTCACCTAGAGGGCAGAAAAAGGTGACATATAATGCAAAAAGTAAGATGCAGTAAACATAGTACCTAATTTTTTTAGTAAAATACATAGATCATTAGAATGGGAAAAGTTTAAGGCCATTAGCTTTCAAGCAAATACATCTTTAAATACTACTTTAGATGGACATGTCTAAGTCACAAAGCAATGAAAACTCCAATTAAAGTCAATAATTAGGGGGAAGTATAGAAAAAGGTAAACAAGGCAGTTATTTTTCTACCTTTTCTCAAATCATTTTCGAAAACAAAAATTATTTTTTTCATTCTCTTTTCCTGAGTCTTGCACAATGGGAGCAATGAGAGGCCAATAAAAAATATTTTACTGATTAATAAGTAGCAGCAAATGAATGTAGCTGGAAAGGACAGGAACACCCAAGTTAGCATTTCTACTTAATCTTCACATATTACAGACTCCTTTTTAAATTGCTTTTTATTTATCCTGTATTTTCTTCAGTGTTCAGCACTATCAATTTCTCACAAAAGGGTTTTATGATAGAGACCAGAATAATAGTTCAAAATCTGGGAGGCTTTTGCTTCAGATCTAAGTTTTTCAAATTCATAAAACAATAATATCAAGTACTGCAGTGAAAGTAATTATAAACACCCAAAAAAATCTTTAATTATACTGTCTAATCTCATTAATTTACTCTGCAATATATACTTGTTCATTAGAGGCTAGTTTCCCATATGTATTATATTTTTAGATATATATGTGTGTGTCTGTATGCACATATGTAAACAATTTGCTGTAACATTTGTTGCTTTTTCCCAAAACAGAAGGCTCTTCTCCACTGCATGTAGACATGCCGTTAAGAATTATAGTGTTTGAGTTTTGCAAAAACAGGTTATGGGACACTAGAGGTCAGTAATTTACAAGATAAACCATCCATCACCTCATTGGCTTCAGGTAACGCTGCAATGATCAGAGTGCTCAAGAGTGTGGTAATATAAAATATGCAGGGTTTAAAAATTGCAAAGCATCTTTATATCTCTCAATCTTTGACGAATAATTAGAAGCTTTTCTTAGGAATCAGGCAGATGAATTATATAAATATTCTATATTATGCTTTTGTAAGCTACAATAGTTTGTCTCTTATAAAGCGCAGTTTTAGTTTACTCCCCTTGGGACATGCCACTCTTTCTGAGAAAATAGGAAGATAAATACAACAAAAATATTCATTAGAGGCATTTATACTGAATGGAACCACATAGCAAACCGTTGTGCATCAGAATTACAAAACTTCAGACTGGGATACTGGGATGTTATTTATCATAATATTTTATGATACAGATAGCACAAAAAATGCATGCAAGTGCTCAGGCAACCCATTGATTTGAGGCCTGCTCCAGACCCCTTGCTGAAGGAGGACAG